AAATGTTCGTACCCCATAATATTCTGAAATAAAAAAAATATAAAATGTTGACTATCAGATTTTATTGCCAAAAATTACTCCTTTTAAAAGGTAGCAGAAATATCTGGGAGCATTAAAATATTTGAAAGCCATGTTCACATTTGATGACTCCAAGCAGAGGCAGAAGTGTTACAGTTATTTCCTACTAGTCATAATTTTTAGACTTCTCATTCCCATTTTACAACTACCTTTTTATTTGTCATTATTTTAATATTTTTAGGAATCATGAGTTTTCTCAAGTAAACATTAGGGTTTTTAGGAAACACGTCTGGTTAATCCTAGTCATCTCCAGAATCTGTTCTAGAGCTATAGCAGCAATTAAATGTTTGCTGATTATACTTTGGGAGTCGTTCAAGATCCAGGAACTGGAAAAAATACAAAACTTTAAATATTTTTATTTTGTTGGTTTTTCCAGTAGGGTTGATGATATCCAATCATTTAGTAGCATGTAACCAATTATGTTGATGATTTAAAGTGCGGAATTGTTTGGATTCTCAACTGTAATAAAAACTTGTGCCTAGAACTCTGGTGGTCTTTTTACTATGAGCTTGGAACGGGATCTTCTTGATGCTGAGCCCATGAAGGAACTTAGCAGCAAACGTCCTTTGGTATGTTCTGAGGTTAATGGGCAGATAATTCTTTTAAAGGTAAGTCTAAGTTCTTCCTTCTAGGAGATTCAGCAGTATAAAGGGGAGTGGTACTGTTACTTTTCAGGAAAGAAAAAAAAAGCACTGTTCGTTTTATAAAGTGTATAAGTTGATAGGCATGATGATTGTGCTTCCAGTTTGGTTACCAGAACTAAGTTTTACTAAAGGTTCCCTCATTTCCCTAAGTAGAATATGTCTTTAATAGTATGTACTTGCTTTCCTATTTTGTGTAAACTTATTACATTCTATCCAGTAGCCTTTTAAAATTTTTGATTTTCTTGCATTTCTCCTTGAAATCTCAGCTGTGTTGCCTATACAGGCTTCTGCTCCTTGATTTCTTTTCATCATTGATCTGGGAAACTGTTAATCATGATAATAGTATTATTAATTTGGCCTTACTTGCTACACATTCGAGAATGTGTAGTAAGCTATAGGTAGAATTGTTATTTACTTTCTAAATTATATTATTCAAAGAAGGCAGAAAATGTACTTATAAACTTAAAAAACAAAATTGCATGTAATTTAACTAAGTTGGGAAGATGTATAATTAGAGTGGGAATTTTAATCTTGGAATTACCAGTGCCTCTTTGTTTTGGCACAAGGGCTATTCTGTGGATGTTGACACAGAAGCCAGAGCGATTCAGAGAGCAGCCACCTATCACAGAGCTTGGAGAGAAGCTAAAGAAGAGTCAGGGTTACTACCATTGATATTCCTGTTTTTGTGCAAGGTAAAGTTCTTATGCTAATCTCTTGCAGAAAACATTTTATTTAAATAAGTTTTAACTCCAAGTTTTAGAACAGTAATTCATTCCTCTTAAAATAAAGCAAAAATTACCTAATAGAAAGAATGTATATTAAAAATAAGTTGAAGAATTTTTCACTTGGAGTCACATTCTCTGCTTTGCTTCTTAGTCTGATCCTATGGCTTATCTGATGGTCCCATACTATCCTAGGGCAAACCTGAGTGCTATTCAAGCCAGTATGCCTTTAACTTCAGCAGTAAGTAAAAACACTATTTCCATGGATGTATTAAATAAGAAAATAATACATATTATTTATTCAAGGCATTCTTCATACTATATACTATGTAAAATTTTGACTTGTGTTATTCTATTTAATTATCACATCAACCCTGTGATATGAGTTATCCTATTACACAGATGAGGAAAAGGCTTTAAGTGACTTGCAAAGGGTCTGTCTGCCAGAGGTAGAGTTGGGGTTTGAAATTAGGTCTTTCTAGTTCCAAAGCCTAAGGTTGTAACGATTAAACTGTGTTGCATGTGAATGGCCTTGTATGGCATTTAGTTTTATAAGTGCTTAAGTGATAGCTTTAATTGTTGTCATTGTAAATTTAGGATTAGTAATAACAACAAAGGAGGCCCGATTCTTCCTACGTAGTAACACTATTTTAGTCTTTTCTTTTCTAGATGCTTTACATGGTTGTTATTTGTAATCTAAGTCTTCTTAAGAGACTGTAGAATATACATATGATTACACACATACACATACACACACGAGATCACCAGTTACATAATCAAGGCTTCATCTGGCCTTTAATTCTTTCTCTATGCTGTATTTGTATTAAAGGTTCATTTAGAGGAAGCTTTACTCACTGCTGGAACAGTCTTTTAATTAGAGAAAAGGTTCAGGTATTAAAATAAACGATTTGCCTACTTCCTGACTTCTTTTGTTTGTACTTATCTATAGGAAGCTTTAAAGGTCATGAAAGGTGTTGCCCAGGGCCTGCATACATTGCACAAGGCTGACATAATTCATGGATCACTTCATCAGAACAATGTGTTTGCTTTAAACCGTGAACAAGGAATTGTTGGAGATTTTGACTTCACCAAATCCGTGGTAAAATATCATAGTTTTACAAATAGGTTATAGATTTATTTAATGTTATTAGGCAGTAGTTCAGCACTTGTACATAATGTGCTGATTTATTATAGGATTCGTGCCTTCAGTTAAGGTGTGCCATGTATTGTAAGCAATTACCCGCTATCAACTAGGTACTGGAACTAGAGTTTCTAACTTTTTTCATTGCATATTTCAACCATAAGTCTTAGGAGCAACCTGACATTACACTCAATGGCATTGATAACATTAATCATTTTATCATCATCAGGAAATATTTAATGGCTACAAAATATGCAAGGAAAGCTAGGTGGCCCATCTATCTCCCAGCCTCCCTCTCCTGGTGTACCCGCAAGAGATTAACTTTAAATACACCTATTTTGTACTTTTTTTTTTTTTTTTTTTGAGACAGAGTCTCACTTTTTTGCCCGGGCTAGAGTGAGTGCCGTGGCGTCAGCCTAGCTCACAGCAACCTCAAACTCCTGGGCTCAAGCAATCCTTCTGCCTCAGCCTCCCGAGTAGCTGGGACTACAGGCATGTGCCACCATGCCCGGCTAATTTTTTTCTATATATTTTTAGTTGTCCGATTGATTTCTTTCTATTTTTAGTAGAGATGGGGTCTCGCTCTTGCTCAGGCTGGTCTCGAACTCCTGAGCTCAAACAATCCGCCCGCCTCGGTCTCCCAGCGTGCTAGGATTACAGGCGTGAGCCACCGTGCCCAGCCTATTTTGCATTTTTTTATTAATAATGTACATTTTTAGAAACCTGGGAACCTTGGGCTTTCCCATTTAATTTAAGTCCTAATTAAACTACAATGCCTGTTAATTTGGTGCCATATTACCTCAGAATAGGCAGTTTGTAGAGATAGCGAAGATAAGACAAAGAATTGTGAATTTTTTTTTTTGTTGTTAGAATGAGCAGTCTTAAAATACACATGATCATGAGGGAGCAATTCCCTAATTGTTTTAATTGACAAAAATTGTATTTACCGTGTACATGTTTTGAAATTTGTATACAGTGTGGAATGGCTAAATCAGCAAGTCTCTTTTTAAAAATCATGGTTTTATTGAGATATAATTAACATATCATAAAGTGTACAATTCAGTAGTATTTTTAGTACATTCACAAAATTGTGCATTGATCACCACTACCTAATTCCAGAACGTTTTTATCACTCCCAAAAAGAAACTCTGTACTGATTAGCAGTCACTTTCCATTTCCCGCTCCTCTTGGGCCTTGGAAACCACTAATACACTTCCTATCTCTGTGGATTTGCCTATTCTGGACATCTCATGTAAATGGAATCATACAATATGTGGCCTTTTGTGATTGGCTTATTTCACTTAGCATAATGTTTTCAAAGTTCATCCATGTTGTAGTATGCATTAGATTGTAATTCCCTTTTTTGTGGCCAAATAATATTTTATTGTATGGATAATACCACATTTAGTTTATATATTGATTAGTTGATGGACATTTGGGTTGTTTATACTTTTTGGTTATCATGGATAATGCTGCTATGAACATTAGTGTACAAGTTTTTGTGTGGGCATACTTTCATTTCTCTTAGGAGTGGAATTATTGGATAATATGGTATGAAACTCTATTTTTCACCTTGTGAGGAGCCAAACTGTTTTCCAAAGTGGCTGCACCATTTTACGTTCTCCTCAACAATGTATAACGATTCCAGTTTCTCCATATCCTTGCCAACATTTGTTATTATCTGAGCAATTCCCTTTGACTAGTTTATGTCATAATGCCTTGTACTTTGGTCATCTGTAAGTCATAGGGTACTGCCACCAGTGTATATGTAGTCTCAGTGGTTTTCATATGGTAGCTCAAAAAACTGAGAAAATGAAAATGTAAAACTGTAATCAAAAGCTGGATTATGCAGGATTTATGCAGATTGATTTGCTGAAATATTTATTTTAAAACATTAATTTATCTGAAAATTAAGATAGCACCCTAATAAAAGTAACTAAATTGTGAGTTTTAAAGATTCTCAACTTTTAGGGATTCTGGTCAGTTTACCTTTGAGCATACTATTTGCATAACTAGATATTACAACTCCAAGAATTATTCTTCCTTTTTTATACTCATTGGTCACCTGTTATTATTCCCAAAACATTGTTTTAATCTTCAGTTAAAATTATTTACTCTGAATTATTGATTAAACTCACTTTTTGCTACATTTTTCGTACTACGTTCAGATCGAAGCGTTAATCAGGAAGAGAAATTTGAAAAGTAGTCTGAAGTCAAGATGATTGCTTTTCAGACTTTATGGTGCATATTAATCATGTGGGGATCTTGTTAAAGTGCAGATTATTATTCAGCATTTCTGGGTTGGATATTCTGCTTTTCTGACAAGCTCCCAGTTGATGCCATAGCTCCTGACTTTTGGACCAC